ACAGCACCACGGAGGATGCTCACCTCTTGCCACAGCGCTCGCAGACATAGGGCTTCTCCCCCGTGTGCTGGCGCACGTGGGCGATGAGGGAGCTGGCTTGGGTGAACGCCTTCCCACAGATGAGGCACTGGCACGGCTTCTCTCCTGGGGAGGCAGCAGGAGGGCTCAGCCCCACGGGGATCAACGTGGAACCCCCCCCCCTCAGCCCTCCAAGGAAAGGCAGTGTGGAGGCTGAGCTGTGTTCCTACCCGTGTGGATGCGGACGTGCCGCTGCAGCGCCCCAGGGTCAGCGAACTGCCGCTGGCAGTGCACACAGACGTAGGGCTTCTCCCCGCTGTGGATCCGGAGGTGCCGCTTCAGGTTGCCTGCGTGCAGCTGCATCTCAGACAGCAGCACGGGGACAGCGGAGCGCCCCCATCCCTCCCTGTGCCGCATGCAGCAGGAACCCTGCAACAGCTTGGGGAGATGGGAGGGAACCTCTGTCCCGCAGATCAGCTCCTTTCAGGAGCAGCCCCAGGTTGCGAGGCGGAGGTTTAAACCCTTCTCTGTTCCCCACGGACAGTGGATACCCTGCTCGGGGAGCTCCCCATCCCATGCTACCTGAGGTGGTGAACTGCTTGCCGCACTCCCGACACTTCAGGGGCCCATCCGCAATGTGAATCTTCAAGTGAGCTTTCAAGTTCCCCACCTGGGGACAAACATCGGGATGCAGAGAGCTCCCCACCATCCCCAGCAGCCCCCCATGGTGGGCACTGAGCCGTGACTGCTCCAGCCCCTGCCCCAGCTCACCTGGTTGAATTTCTTGTCACAGTGGGGACACTTGTGCTCCTTGTCGGTGTCGTGGGTCTCCAGGTGCCGCATTTTGGAGGTGGGGTCAGAGAAGGAGCGCCCGCAGTAGTCGCACTGGTAGGGCTTCTCCCCACTGTGCACCAGTTGGTGCCTCTTGAGGTTGCCCGAGGTGGTGAAGAGCTTCCCGCAGTCGTCGCAGCGGTACTTGGCCTCCCCCGTGTGCCGCTTCTTGTGCAGGTTCAGCAGGCTGATGAGGCGGTAGCTCTTCCCACACTCCTCGCAGCCGTAGGGCTTCAGCGGGCTGCAAGGCACGCGGGGCTGGCAGGTGAGGGAAGCAGCACAGCGAGTCCCCGCCGACCTCTGACTCCGCTGCCGCCGTCACAGCTCCAAGAGCCGGGTGGCAGCTGTCGCCGTACCTGTGCGTCTTCTCGTGGGCTTTGCACGCCGCCGGGTCTGAGAAGGCTTTATTGCACTCCCTGCAGGAGAAGGGTTTCTCGCCGGTGTGGATGCGGATGTGCCGCTTGAAGTTCCCAGTGTGGGTGAACTCCTTCCCGCAGTCCTGCGGGCAGAGAGATGCGCGGTGATGCCAGGGGCACCCAGGAACGGGAGCCCTGCCGTGGCTGCGGCCGCCCTCACCTCACACTTGTGTGTGACGGAGCCGTAGGCTTTCGACTCGGTCCTGTCGCTGTAAGAACCCGAACGCAGCAGCCGCGTTTCGCCTGAGTTCTCCTGTCCGGAGTCAGTGCTCCCTGATTCGTTATCCTCAGCATTTTCTCTGCTTTCTAATTTGGGTTGTGCTGCCTTGGGAATTTTAGCCTCCTCTTCTTCCTCCGCCATCGCCTCCCCCTCTTTCTCCTTCCCTTCCAGCTCCATCTCTGCATGCATTCAAAAAACAGGGACACGAAGGATCGAGAGCAGCATCAGAGACACAAAACCCATCTGCACTTCCTAACTCTAACCCCAAATTTAAGCTGACGCACCTTAGACCCTGCCCCACTCCCAGGAAGGGAAAACAGCAAAGTCCCCGTGCTGTGCTCACCACAACGCACCTCTTGCCTCAGCGCTGGGAGCATCGCTGCCCTTCTCCCTGGGGCTGCTGTTGCCCACCTCGCTCTCTGCTGGCTGCAGGCGGCTGGGGGATGTGGCAGCAGGGCCGGCTTCGGCAGCACTGTCCACACCTACGAGCAGCAGAGAGTCTCAGCCACGTTCAAGAAGTAATGGGCAGCAGGACAGGGCATCTGGGGGGAGTTCAGAGCTCACCTCCTGCCTGCTGACTTTCTGCAGGGCCCTCTTTGGCATCCGGTTGCTCTGCTGGCTCCTTGGGCTGTGTCGCTGCGGCCACAGGCGCCTCTTCCTTCCCCTCTGGGTTGGGAGGATCTTTTGGTTTGTCAGAATCACCTTGCGTTACTGTTGCCGCTGTTTTGCCCTCAACAATCACCTTCTCAACCCCTGCAAAGGAAGAAAACTGTGCCATCAGGCCTCTGCGGCTTGCTGGATGAGGCGAAACAAAACAAGAAAGCTACGTACCGAGCTCAGTGAGGAGCTCCCGGCTCTCTACAGGGCTTTCTGCCAGCACCGTGAGGGATTTGAGTGCATTGCAAGCGTTGACGATCTCCCGCATCTGGAGGAACCCTGCCACAGCCAGCACATCTTCCACATTGTCAGGGTTCAGGCTCAGCTTGGCCGTGTACATGAACTCCAAAACCTGCCCCAACCCTGCAAAAGGCACAGCAAAGGCTGCGAGCTCCCACCCGTGCCACCCATCCGGCTGTGGGATTTGCAGAAGCCTTGGATCCTACCTGCCACGTTGCTGATGTCGAGGTGCACCACGTCCTCCTTCTGGTCCACAAAGAGCATCCTGAAATACTCACTGCATGCCGCCAGCACGGCTTTGTGGGCCTTGAAGTTGATGCCATCCACCACGAAGGTGCAGTCGCACAGCAAGCCCAGCTGCCGCAGCTGGTTCAGCTGCTCCAAAACCTGCCTGCTGTGCTGAGGGAAATCCATGGCTGTGGGCAGAAAGCAGAGCTGTAGTGAGGTGGTGCTAAAAGCCCAAAGGGGCGGGAATGGGGCAGAGCACGAAGCCAGGAATCCTAAGAAGCGGAAGGTCAGCAGACGGAAGGAGGTGGGAGCACTGCAGACATCTGCAGGCAGTGGGAGCTCACGTACTCGGTCAGGGCTGGGCAGGCCAGTTCAACTGGGGCAGCTGCTGCAAGCCACAAACGTGCTCCTTCAGCTGCTAAGCACAGGACGGGCGTGCAGTGCGACGAGGGAGCCTCCTCCTGTCTGCAGTGGGTCGCAGCAATGAGCTCCCGACGGCCTTCTGCCTTGCTCTGCAGCCTTGGGTCTCCCTTGACAGCAGTCACCCCTTGGAGAGGAGCAGCCAAAAGAAACCTGCAGGAAGGAGGTGTTAGGGGCTTCGTTTGCTCAGCTGAGAAGTCAGAAAGATAGAGGCTGGAAAGGAACCCTGAGGAGAACCACACAAGTTTGCTCTCCTCTGAGCAAAGATGCTCTCTGTGTCTCCTTCCCCTGCCTGTCCCAAAACACAGGATGATTTTCAACCAAACATCAACAAATCACCTGCCCCCAGACACATCTATCAACAGCCAGAAATAGCAATACTTGCGTCAAGATCTATCTAAACCCTCATATATATGTGTAGATATATATATATGTCTAAGACTCATTGAAGTTTGCAAGGGAAACTTTGCTTCCCTAGAGAAAGAGCACTTTCCCAGCAGCACAAACAATGCTGCCTTATGTACTTAGAAAGCTCTGAGCCGCATGCAAACACAAAAGGATAGGATGGGAGCAGAAAAAAAAAAAAGGAATGCAGTCAGGACTGCTAAAAAAAGCAGCTGACATGGACACAAACCCTTTCCTATTGGTGCTGTGACACACGAAGATGTATCAAAGCCCTGTGCCTGAGCTCTCAGCTCCATGCCTGAAAAGCAATGATAAAAGAGGAGTGGTCCTTGGTTGCAACCATGTGCAACCATGTCCTGACAGATCTCAGGAACAGAATTGGGAACCATAGAATCACAGAATGGCCTGGGTTGAAAAGGACCACGATGATCATCTAGTTTCAACCCCTCTGCTATGTGCAGGGTCGCCAACCACCACACCAGGCACTATGAGGAATGAGAAGTTTGTGGCTCTCCTCCAAAATCTGCCCCTCCCTGGTGCTGAAGTCAAGACTCTACGCAGCCCTCCAAGGAGAAACGCACTGCAAACCCCCTGTTTTAAACTACAAAACTCACTGCTTCAGAGCTGCGCAAAACCCACAGCGGTTTCTTGCTGCTTTTTTTCCTACCCCACACCGAGGTGCTGTGACTTCCATGCAGACAACGCGCAGCCAGAAGCAGACACCCCCCGATTCCACCTTGTCAGAAGGGCGTGGGTGCTGCTTTCCCTTCCCATCTCTCCCTGATGCAGCTGACAAGCCCCTCGTTACCCGATCCACCACAGAGATGGAAAGCTCTGCTACCAGAGCACCTGCACACACAGCAAGAGCCACAGCCAAGTCCCAGGGTGCAGCCCACACAAGTGTGCTCCCAGGGTATGAAACTGGGGGGAGAAAGGGAGGGAAAGCCAAGGGAGCAAGAGGTGCTCAGCAACAGGAGATGTAAAGCAAAAGTTTTATGCCTTCTTTCCTCCTTCAACGCCCAGAAGTTCTCACTGTGAGGGCTGGCAGCTCTCCCGTTTATTAACAAGGGCTCGTGCAACGCAGTGGAGCAGAGAAACCCTTTTTTTTTTTTTTTTGTTAAATTCCTGAGGGGCTCAGAGGTGCCCTCAGCTGTGGAGCCGGGCGGGCAGCAGTCAGACTCAGCGCAGGGCCTCACCTCAGAGCTGGGTTCAACGCAAAGGGGGACTGCACCCCAAAACCAAGGCCTCCTCCTAAGCCTGCCCCGAGGCCTCTACTAAGAGTCTCTTAGCCTCCTAGCGAGCCTCCTCCCAGCCTCCCAGGCTTTCCCCCACCGTCCTCGGCCCTACCTGCCATGCCGGGCCCGCTGGCGGCCTCAGATCACCGCCCGTGACACGGCCCAGACAAAGGGCGCCGCCATCTTGGCACCGGGCGGAAGCGGCGTCGCCCCTTCCCGCCCACCGCATGCGGCACTGCGCCTGCGCGCCCTGCTCGGGGCGGGGACGCGCATGCGCGAAGCGCTGGTGGCCGTCGGGTCACGTGACGCGAGTGTTTTCCTCCCTCCCCGGCCCGGCGCCATGTTGGCGGGCGTTGGGATGGGGCTGTCGGGGTGGGGCGGGCAGCAGCGGGTGTTGCGGCGTTCTGTGGAACCGGGGGCTCAGCCTCGTGCCCTGTGCGTCCGTGGGGGCTGATGTTCCTTCCTTGGGTGTCTCTAAGCTTGGGGATGAGGGTGTGCCGTGGTGGTGGCCGGGTGGCCCTACAGGAGCGGGCCCCGAGGTACGCTCTGTGGGGATGAAAGGCGCCGGAATTATCCTGGCGAGGGCCTGCGTGCTGAAGGAACTGGGTGGGTGGGGCTGAGGGTCTCGCTCAGGTCGTTAACAACCCAGGTGATCCTCTGTGCGGCTCCCCATAGGAAAGGTGCAGTGCAGGGATGGCCGCTTGAGAGGAGCGTCGGGGCAGTGTTGTGCTTCACAAGATGCTGGTGAGGCGAGGGCGGCCCGACTGCCACAGCTGTGCAGGCAGCGGCCTGGAGACTGCTGTTCTCGCGTACCAGCTTCCCCGTCAGGTGCGTGTGGCACGGCCAGCCTGCCAGCAATGAGCCCCTCGCAGGGCCATGTTCAGCGTTGGACCTCTGAACTGCTTTTCACTCTGTCCCCTAATTCCCACCCCGAAACCAGGCAGCTTTGGGGTGGAAAACCCTTTTTTCTTCCCTTTGGGTCTTTTACTTGTCCCCCTCGCCACTAGGTGGCGCCGTGTGACTGCAGTGTGTGGGTGCCAGGTGCCGTGGGGCGGCATTTTGGGGCACGGTGGATGCATCCTGTCGCTCATATCCCCATAGATGCACAGTTCCAATTTTCTGAGCTGTACTGGGCTCTTTGGCAGGTTTTTCGACACCGTTTAAACACTTTTCCTTGCAGCAAGGAATCCACCAAGCCCTGCAGCAGCTCCTGCCTCACCCGAGGTGAGCGTGGGACAGAAATAAAACAGCGAAAGGCACCAGCTAGATCCCTTTAAATGTCCTTGTAGCATTACAGGCATGTTAATGCTGATCACAAGCCATTATGGGACAAGCCGACCTCGCACCCGTGCCAAGGTAACATGAGCTGTGTGGTCTCTATAAACAGCCCTGTGCTGTGTTTGTACACATGGGGTGGCTTCGGGGCAGTGGTTGGTCCCACAAAGGAAGGAACCCTGGGTTTGGCAGCCTCTCTGCCCCAGCCTGCTGCCGTCTAGGGCTTGGTGGTGGGCAAAAAGGAGAAGAGGGTTTGGTGACCTTCCAAGGTGGGCTGGCAGCCGAGCAGCTGAGGGAAGGGCTTAGAAATAGAGCGGCCAGGAAGAAGTGAGTCACTGGGGCTGGAAATAAACAAGGAGGTGGGCATGGAGCAGGGATGCTGGGGCCAGCTTCTTGTTTGCATCCAGGAGGAATTGTGGTCCCTGCTACTGAGGTCCCCATTGGAGCTGAGCCTGCAGCTGCTCAGTGCCTTTAACTCGGCTCCTTTGGGGAAAAAGCATCAGGAAAGCAGAAGAATGAAAGGAGGAGACAGCAGTTCTCAGTTATCTCTCATAACCCAGTACAAGCTGTATATACAAAGAAAAGCTCCAGCAGAGGGTCAGGGAAGGGCTCGCTCCCCAGCCTCACTCCTCGTATCTGTCCTGCAGGCAAACCCGCAGCCACCACCACCACCACGACTGCTGTGGGACCTCCAGGTCTTCCCAATCCAGCCCCAAAATGATGCCTGCAATCTCTTGTGGGTCCTGCAGTGAGGGATGCTCATGCTGTGTGCGGGTTTCACCTCATACCTCCTAGGGAGCCTGCGGGGAGCACTCCCATCCCCTCCACAGCATCCCCTCCATCCCAAACCAGCGGGGTGGCAGCCAGCTTGCCGGGGAGCAGACAGACAGCTAGATAAATAAGGGAGCACCCCACAATCTACCCACGGGGCAGGGGAAAGGCCCGGCCCCGGCGCTGCCCCCGGCCTCTCAGATTTTGATCTCAGTCCGGAAGATCTGCTGGACGTGCTCGCTGTGTTTAGCCGGCTGCCGCACGGCGCGGATGGTCAGCGTGCCGTTGTCCCCCAGCGAGGATGACACCGATGTGGGGTCCACATCCTCGGGCAGCTGGCACTTATGGGTGAAGGTGTTCATGACGGTGCCATCCGCAGCCAGCTGGGAGGGGAGAAAGGGGCGATTTTAGGCTGCAAGAGGCACAGGAGAGCTTTGTTCCTTTGCCCTTGGGTGAGGCTCGCGGTGTCGCCTTGTGTGTGGTGTTAATATTTATAATCTCCCTGCGGGTGCGTTGGTGGGACGTGAGTCACCTGGGGTGGCAGCTGGAGGAACAAAGGTGCTGTTTTGGGAGCTGCTCCTGGGGCGTTAAGATTTAGGGCGTGTGGGGACAGCACCTGGGAGAGGACATGGGACGCTGCAGCAGAAATAAAGGGCAAAAAGACGAGGAAATAGAGACTTCAGTGCTCAGTTGGTGACTCTGGGGGTGTCGTGATGGTCAAGTGGGGGTCTCTGGGGGTGGCAGCATTGGGGTGGTGATGTGGGGTGCCGGAGGGTGTGCTCACCTTCTCAGCGTGCACCTCAATCTGGTTGTTGGAGGTGGTGACAATGATGTCCTCAGGGGCGAAGTCGCTGACATCCACTGTGAACTGGTAGGTGTTGCCCAGGGTCTTCACGTTGCCATTGGTGCCGGGCCGAGCTGCAGGGCAGCGCAGGGATCAGCTCGTCCCCTTCCCCCCGATAATTCCCTCCCAGAATTGACTCATTTCCCACAACTCTGTGTTGAATCCAAGCCCTCCACCCTCCTTGGGGTGACCTTGGGCTGCAGCGGGACCCCAAAAAGTGAGGTGCGCCCTCGCCGCGATCCCATTGTAGGGACTTGCCTGGGAAGCCCATCGGCTCGTGGGGCCTGGCGAAGCTCCCAAAAAGCTCCATGGGGCAAGCGGGCGACGAGGAGCGGCTGTGGTGGTGGAAGCTGTGCTCCGACCGGAAAGCTGAGGAGGATTTCAAGTTCATCCACTCCAGAGCAGGTCAAAGGGGCCAATGGCACCTCCTCACCCAGCGGCACCGGCTGTCTCGAGGGCGGCCACCGAGCTTATAAAGCCCCGTTTGGCTCTCGGCCACCTTCCAGACCTCTTGTAAAACCGGCTAAATTTAGGTCCTGCTACATCACTCTGGGCGCCGTGGAAATTTTTTCCTCTCTCCCCCCTTTCGTTGGCTCGGCTCCTCCCCGTCCTGACTGTGGTGGGGGGAACCTGATTCCACCGCTGGCATTCCTGCCCACCAGGATAATGCAGTGGGCTGAGGGGCTGATGCTCGCCCCCACCCGCTGTCCCCAGGATGGGGGTTTCGGGGAGCTCCAGCCCCTGGGCTCCTTGCGTGGGGAGTGATAATAACAATGAAAAGTCATTAGAAGCGGCCTTGATGGAAGCGTGGAGCACATCCAAGCTGGCAGCTCCGTGCAGGAATCTTGGGGGGGGGGGGGGGGGTGCAAAATCTACATCATTTGGATCTTTTCTCCCATCCCAGGGCAGACGAGGCCACATTTTGGGGCAGAAAAGAAGGCTCGGCGAGTGGCTCTGCAGAGCAGACCATGTAAGGCTTTATTCCCTGCGCTGACCCACCAGGCAGCCCTGCCAAAAAATGCAGGGGGGTGTAATGTGAGCAGCCCCCCCTCTGTGCTGAGTAATTCCGGCAGGCGCCTGAGTCACCCTTGACTGTCCACATGTGTGGAGATGCTCAGAGCATCGCTGGGCACTGCGTTGCTCCTCTGTGCCCCCTTGGCTAGGGCTGAATGTGCCCCCCCACCCCCCCTTCCCCTCCCGAGGCGTATTCGGAGGCTGAAACCCTTCCCTTATTGCTCTGGCTGGCTCCAGCCCGCGCAGGTCTGGCCACCTTGTCAAGGTCGTTTATAATGAGCTTGTTTGCAAACTCATTTCCACCACAGTGCTGGCACAGGCAGCAGCATCGAGCCGGGCAGCACCAGACCCCCAAAACGCTCCCGGGATGGAGCCCCCCAGCCTGGAGCAGGAAGAGGAGAAGGTTTTGGTGTCGGAGCACAGCTGGCGGCCATGCCCCAAAGCCCGTAGGAGGCTGCGAGGTGAGACCCCTACCCTTAGTTTTTGGGCACACTGAGTTGGTTTTGGGATCTTCTGGGGGGGGTTAGCAGCCTGTTGCCCCCATCCCGGTTCTGCAGGGTGTCTGGAGGTGGTGAAGGGGCTGCTCTTCCGTGTGGGCGAGGACTGGTATTTCCTCTTTGTCCTGGGGGTCCTCATGGCCACCATCAGCTTCATGATGGATCTCATCATCTTCAGGCTCTATGAGGGTAAGGAGGGGCTGCAGCAGCCCCTGTTTGGGGGAGAACCTGGAAACTCGGGGAAGCTGGGAGGCTGTTGGGGCATCTCCCCTCCCAGCACTTCTTCTCCAGCCCACCGGTGGCTGTACCAAGAAGTTGGTGATTACTTGGTGCTCAAGTACCTCTCATGGACCATCTACCCTGTGGCCCTGACAGCCTTCTCCACCGGCTTTGCCAACAGCATCACTCCGCATTCAGGAGGTGAGGGGGGATCCCTCGGGCTCCCCAAACCCTCCCTGGTGCAGGAAATCCCTAAAACTTGGAGACACCCCCCCTCCCCTCCCAAAATGTGGAGCCTACAAATCGTGGAGCCCTCAAAAATAGGAGTCCCCCAAAACTTGGGGACCTCAAATGTGGAATTTACAAAACATGGGGCCCACAAAATTTGGAACTCTCAAAACTTGGAGCCTTCAAAACCTGGAGCTCTTCACACTTGGAGCACCCAGTACTTGGAGGCTCCTCCAATCTTGGAGCCCCCCCCAAATCAGAGCTCTTCTCCCCCACCAAGGCTCTGGCATTCCTGAGCTCAGGACCATCCTGAGCGGCGTGGAGCTGGAGGAATACTTGGCCATCAAGAATTTCGGGGCCAAGGTGGTGGGGCTGACCTGCACCCTTTCTGCTGGCAGCACCGTGTTCCTTGGCAAACTGGTGAGCAGGGAATTCCAGCAGGGATTTCAGCACAGGCTCCGTGCCGAGGTTGCTCAGCGCTGTGTCCTCTCCATGTCCCCAGGGTCCCTTTGTTCACCTCTCCTCCATGGCTGCAGCTTATCTGGGGAAGATGCGGACCTCGGTGATGAGGGAGTACGAGGTGGTGGCAGTGCTGGAATATTATTTTTTTAACCAGTTTTCTCTCCAAACCCAAAGCGTTTCGGTTAAACCGTTTTCTCCACAGGACAAATTCAAGCAGAACGAGATGCTGGTGGCTGCTCAGGCTGTTGGTGTGGCCACTGTTTTTGGGGCTCCCATCAGCGGTGAGTGACCCCCCCTGCCCCTTTCCCATGAGAGGGAACCCCGAATTCTGAGCGAGTCCCCTCCCTTTTTCCAGGGGTGCTGTTCAGCATCGAGGTGACGGCATCCCACTTTGCTGTGCGGGATTACTGGCGTGGGTTTTTTGCTGCTACTTGCGGTGCCTTCATGTTTCGCCTCCTCGCCGTCTTCAACAGCGAGCAAGGCAAGACAGGGCAGGGCAGGGAGCAGCCCTGCGATGTGCTTCGTCCCCCCTAAAAATCCACGTGCCCCTTCCTTCCTCCTCAGAAACCATCGCCGCTCTGTTTAAAAGCGACCTCAAGCTTGATTTCCCTTTTGACCTGCCGGAGACTTTCTTCTTCATGATTTTGGGGTAAAGAGGGACCTACTGGGGACGGGCTCCTGCCCTCGCACTGCCCTTACCCTGCCTGGATCTGCCCACATCCTTCCCACTTCCCTGCCCGTATTCTGCCCATAACCTGCCTGCGCTCTGCCCGTTTCCTTGTGCACGCCCTGCCCAGCTCTGCCTGCACGCTGCCATCTCTCCCCCAGGGCCATCTGTGGAGCCATCGCCTGCGCCTACCTCTTCTGCCAGCGCTGGCTGCTGGCGGCCGTCAAAGACAACCGGCTGACAGGCAGGCTGCTGGCCACCGAGTGCGTCCTGTGTGTCCATGCTGAGCACCTGAACGTGTGTCCCACCCCCACACGTCCTTGTGTCCCCCCCCATTGTGTCCGTCTGTCCCGCTCACTGCGTCCTCGTGTCCCGCAGTACGTCTGTGTGTCCCCTGGTACATCCGTCTGTCTCATCCCCCCTTCTTCCCACAGCAAGCCCCTGTACACAGCGCTGGTGGTGCTGCTGCTGGCGTCCATCACCTTCCCTCCAGGCCTGGGCCAGCTGATGGCTTCCAGGGTGAGCAGGGCTGGGGGCTTTCTCGTCAGCCCCCCCTGTTCCTCACACCCATGCTGTTTGTCTGTCTGTCTAGCTGTCCATGAAGGAACACCTCATCTCTCTCTTCGACAACCGCTCCTGGTTTGTGCTGGCCCAGAACGCTTCCATGGCCACCACCCAGCTGGGGGACCCACGGGGGCTGTGGCAGGAGTGGTGCCACCCTTCAGCCACCATCTTCGGTACTTTGGTCTTCTTCCTGCTGATGAAGGTACCTCATTGTGTCCCCAGCCCCACACCACAACCTGTTGTCCCCATTCCCATGTGCTGTGTGCCCCTCAGTTCTGGATGCTGACCCTGGCCACCACCCTGCCCATGCCTGCTGGGTACTTCATGCCTGTCTTTGTCTATGGTGAGTCCGGGGGGTCCTGCCCCTCTCCTGGGGGGCACCCAGACCTGGGCTGCATCTGGTCCTGGGGAAGCATGGGGTGCATCCAACGCATTAGGGGTGGGGAGGAGATCCGTGGGTTGGCATCTGACACGCTGGGGGCACAGGGATGCATCCGGCTTTTGAGGTGCGTATGATCTTGAGGGACTGCAGGGGGGTGTCCAGCCCATTTTGATGTGTGGTGGATAAGGGAGTTGCATCCAGCACTGGGGGCTGCACCTGGTCCTGTTGGGGGGGATCTGGGTCTGTATTTTTTGGGGGGTATTCCTTGGGGCTCCTGGGCTTCTCTCTCTCCCCTTCCCCCAACCCCACAGGAGCGGCCATCGGGCGGCTGCATGGGGAGGTGTTGGCCGCACTCTTCCCCCATGGCATCCGCACGGAGGGCACGACGTACCCCATTGTCCCTGGTGGATATGCACTGGCCGGTAAGTGGGGGACATCGTGGAGTGGGGACAGTGGGGCCACCCCAGTCCTTGTGCCAATGCCACCATTGTCTCATCCGTAGGCGCTGCTGCTTTCTCGGGTGCTGTCACCTACTCTGTCTCCACCGCCCTGCTGGTGTGTGAGGCCACTGGCCACATGGCCCACGTGCTGCCCGTCGTGCTGGCTGTGCTGGTGGCCAACGCCATCACGCGGAAGAGCCAGCCTTCCTTCTATGATGGCACCATCATTGTCAAGAAGCTGCCCTACCTGCCCCCCATCCGCAGCCGGCACATAGCGTGAGTATCCTCACAGGCTCTGCTTTGGGGGGATTCCTTGGCAAAAATCGTGGCTTTTTGTCCCTTTTCTTCAGCTCCTATCGGGTGGTGGTGAAGGAGTTCATGGAGCAGCGGGTGGTGGCTGTGACCAAGAGTGATGGCTTTGAGGAGGTGCTGGCGGCCCTCAATGCCACCACCAATAAAGAATACCCTGTGGTGGAGAGCAAAGGTAGGGTGGTAGGTGTGCAGGGGCCTGGTGGCCATGGGACATCTCAGCTGGTGACCTTGTGGTCACCTCACTTGTCTCCTGTCCCCGCAGGGTCACCCACACTGGTGGGCACCATCAGCCGTGCCAAACTGGTGGCTTTCCTGCAGAGCCACGAGCACCCACAGGCACCCCCAGGGCCGCTGCAGGAGAAGGTGAGTTTGGGGCACCCAAAAAAGGCATTTTTTCCACCCAAACATACAGCGCATCACTTGTTCTATCCCACTGCAGCCAGCCTCCACGGGGACACTTGGGGAGGACTGTGCCATTGAGCCCATCGTACTGCAGCTGTCACCGTGGACCTCACTGCACCAGGTTTGGGGTGGAGGGACAGGTGACCACGGGCCCCCAAGCCAGAAAAATTTGGACTTTGTCCCCACGTGTCCCCGCTCTTTGCAGGCACATCACCTCTTCGAGCTGCTGAAGCTGCAGTGCGTCTTCGTCACTCACTATGGGGAGCTGGTGGGGGCTGTCACACGCACCGAGGTGCCAGCGGGGACACTGGGTGAACACGGGGTGGGGGCCACGAGGGGACAGCGGCCGTCCCAACTCTTCCTTCCTGCCCTTGCAGCTGCGGAGAGCCATAGAGGAGCTGGCCAAGGACGCGTGACTGCCCATCCTGCCCCTGTGTCAATTAAATGGCTTTTGGGGTCATATGGTTAATTTCAGGAGCTGTCTGGGGGTGCGGAGCATCCCATCCTATTGCCACTGCGTTTCGGGGTCGCTCTGCAAAGCAGGGTGTAGCGTTTCAGGGTGCGGACGGTGCAGCTGATGCTAATGAAGGCAGTGCAATTAATCCTGGGCATGCCTGAGCCCAGCCTCAGGAGGGGTGAAACGAGGTCAGCGCCAGAGGAACACCCAAAAAATGGGGCTGGAGCTGGGCATGGCAGCGCCGGGGGGGAGGTGCGGGGGATGGCTCTGCGGGGCTGGGGCCAGGCAACACCCATGAGGGGAGGACACCGTGGTGAGGGTGAGAACAGCGATGGGGCTACAGAGTAGGGTGGCGGGAGGTCCACAGCATCCCCATCAGGTGGGAAAGGTGCTGAGAAGCACCCATAGGGTGTGTGGAGGGCGCTCAGCGGGTCGGGGGCAGGCAGAAGGCGATGGGAGCACGGCCCCCGTGGAGCTGAGGGTGAGCAGCAGCCCCGGGGCAGCCCCTGCCCCACGCATCACCCTGCAGCTCCTGCAGGGATTGGGAGTTTCACCGAAACTCCGCACAGGGAGGGAAAACAGAGGCAGCAGGGCACGAGGCGTGGTGATGCGCTGCAGGGCCAGGGGCCAAAAAATACAAGAGGAAAAGGGCAAAAAAAGCACCGAGGAGAGCATCCTGCAGAATGCTCCACAACCACACGGCCCTCGCTTGCGGGTTTGAGGTTAAACAAAAAAAAAGGAGGAAAAAAAAAAAAAAAAAAGATGATAATAAATGCTTTTTTCCGGTGCTTTTCCCACCCGGTTATTTGCAGGCACCGCGCAGCCATCGCTGCTGGTGTTTGGCAAAGTAACCCTGAATTCCTCGTGGGTTTGGGGAAGGAGAAGGGAAATGTGCATTTCTTAGCGCTTGGGAAATGCTGGAAAACTTTAAATCCTCCTTAAAATAAACAAAGAATAGAGGCCCCCCCCCTACTGGCTCTAAAATCCCACTCCAACTCAGCACTGATGGACGCCGGGGTAGAAAAAGAGCACAAAAGTTTTATTCAAATCCAACTCGCTGTCGTGAAAATCACAAAAACCTCATAAATTCCATTAAAAAAAAAAGGGGGGAAAAACCCCAAAACTGCCCCCTTTCCCCCCCTTTTCTTTTTTCCTCTCCCTTCTCTCCTTTTACCTCTCCGAAATCTGAGACCTTTTTGATTTCTCAATAAATATACAAAAATATAATAAATTAGAAAAACAGCAACACCACCAACGAAAAAAATCAAGAGGTAACACTGCTTGTCAGCAGCAAGGCAGAGAAAAACCAAACCAGCGGTGGGAGAGGAAAACAGGAGGGGGAAAAAGGCAGAAATAGAGAAATCTGGGGGCCAAAACTCAGCCCTTTGGGGTTTTTTTTTTCCTTGAAATGCAGAAAACAAAGGGGAAATTGGCCCCCAAAACAGCCTCCCCCACTTGAAATTGTCATTTTTTGGGGGGGGTTTCCACCTGTTTTGTCCTCGGGACAGCGATGGCAACGCGGTGTGAAATCCCCTGCGGGGGAATAATATTAATAATAATAATAACAGCAACAACCTTAAAAAATATTAACAACAATAAATAAAGCAGAGGGTGGGGGGGACGCCGGGGGTCTTCATTTGCCCATGTGGAGTCAGATGGGGACGCCGGCGGGGCAGAGCTGCTCCTGCAGCCCCAGCAGGCTGTAGGCAATGCGTTTCTTGTGGCCGGGCAGGCGTACCCCGATCTTCTTGAGGTCACTGCAGGGGAAACAGAGCGGGTGTTGAACCGCAGGTGGAATTTTTTGGGGTTGAGAAAGGGTTGCAAAAGGGGCTGGGTTGGAGGTGGAGGATTCTGAGCGTGATGCAGGGCTGGATCTTGAGCAGCGCTGAAGGCATCCCACCCCGAGCGCCCCACGGCACGGGATCCAGCCTGAAAGGGGAGCCCGAGGGACGGGGCAACGCTGTCCCCAAACCCGCTGCCACTCACTCGTTTGTCATCTGCAGCACTTTCTCAATGGTGTTGTAGCCAGCGGCAGCGAAGTGCTCAGCGTATTGGTGCATCTTGATGGACTCGAGCCACTCAGGCACCGAGCGGAAGGGAACGCCGTCGGAGCCGCTGGTGCTGGGCAGGCGGATGGAGACGCTGCGGAAATGACATCAGCACCCAGAAATGTACGGGTGCAAAAGAAAACAAAAAAAAGTCATGCAGAAATGCGAGGCTGCAAAAAAGTTTACACAAAGGTAGGGGAAAGCGTGTGAAAAGCAAGAGGCTGCCAAAAAAATTCGTGCAGAAGTGAATGGAAGAGGAGACGGCAGTGCGGAGATGCAAGAAGTCGAGTAGGAGTGCAATAAAAAAATGCAGGAATGGAGGATGTGAAAACAAGGAGGATGCAAAAACAAGGGGAATGCAAAGAGTGGAGAAAAGGTCATGCAAAGGAACGAGTGAGAGTGAGGAAAACGGCAGGAATAGGTGTGGGAAATAACGCAGGAACGCACGCGTGCAAAAAATAATGCAACGATGCAAAGAAAAAACAAGGTGGAAAAGTGGAAGGGTGCAAAAAGAAGTGGAGGATGCGAAGGTTCCTGCAGCTCACCGGGGGTCGAAATCTGCCAGCGCCTTGAGCGAGTCGGGGGCGCGGACCAGTTTGTCGAGGATGCTGACAATGTCTGCGAATTTGGGGCGGCGGGCGCGTTCCTGCTGCCAGCACTGCATCATCAGCTGGTACACAGCCGAGGGGCAGTCCAACGGGGCGGGCAGGCGGAAGCCTTCATTGATGGCTTTCATCACCTGTCAAGGCATCCCGGAAACGCCAGGAATAAAGAGACGTGCCTAACAAAGCCACCAGAATAACGAAGCTGGACCCCGAAAGAGCAAAGCTGGCCCACAGCAAGGTCACCCCCCAACGTCAGCACCAAATCAGGCCCTCGATCCCCAAAGCAGCCCCCAAAACAGGGTGCCGGAGGGGCGCAGGCGCTCACCTCGTGGTTGGAGAGCTCCCAGTACGGGCGCTCGCCGTAGGACATCACCTCCCACATGACGATGCCGTAGCTCCAGACGTCGCTGGCAGAGGTGAACTTGCGGTAGGAGATGGCTTCGGGGGCTGTCCAGCGGATCGGGATCTTCCCACCCTATTGGGGGCGATGCCGTCACAATTCCCCAATGGCAGGGGGAAAAAAAAGGAGGCAACGATGCAAAATTGTACCCAAACCCCCCCCAAAATCCACTTACACTGGTGGTATAGGTGGCTTCGGGGTCGTCCTCCAGCACCCTCGACAGCCCAAAGTCGGACACCTTGCAGACCAGGTTGCTGTTGACCAGGATGTTGCGTGCAGCCAAGTCCCGGTGCACGTAGTTCATGTTGGCCAGGTACTTCATGCCCGCTGCGATGCCCCGCAGCATGCCCACCAGCTGGATGACGCAGAACTGCCCGTCCTTTTCCTGAAAGCAGAGAAAATAACCCCAAATCTCACATCTTGTCACTACAGGGATGTTCACGGGGGCAGGTCTTGTCTCCATAGGGATTTTGGGGCTGAAGTCCTGCTAATCCCACCCCGGGGCAATGGGATTCCGTCACGCATCGCCTACCCGCAGGAATTTGTCCAACGCGCCGTTTTCCATGTACTCTGTGACGATCATGAAGGGTTTGTCTGCAGAAAAAGAGCCAAAACGCGTTGAAAAATTCTGAAGATTAACTCCATGCCCCTGAAAATAGCGCCTTTTGGGCATTCAGCATGCTTCTGGGGAAGATAACTGTGGTTTTAGGGCACTCACGCTTAGAGACGACCCCCTCAAGGCGGATGATGTTGTGGTGACAGAACTGCCCCATGATGCTGGCCTCACCCAGGAAGTCCACACGCTGCTTCTCCGTGTAGCCAACCTTGAGCGTCTTGATGGCCACCGGCACCTCCTTCTTGCCCTGCTTCAGGGTGCCCTTGTAGACCTCCCCAAATTCTCCTGCTCAGGGCAACAGAAGTTCAAAATGTGTTCCCTTCTCGGTTTGGGGACAGATGACAATGTGAGGACCTACCAGCGCCGATGACCTTCTGGCGGGTGATGGAGGATGGCGAGATCTCAGTGGTGAACTTGAGCATGGCTTGGTTGGGGTCTTCATAGGTGTGTGGGTCAACGTAGGTCTTGAGGGGCTTCAACTGGTCTGGGGGGTTGGCAGCCGTGTCACCCCCAAAGTGTCCACTTTTTGTCACCCCCATGCCTTGAGCCACCACCCCGCCACTCACCAGACTTGGAGAAGTAGACATCCTCGGGGGATTGGCGCGATGGCGAGTTCCTCCTCCTCCTGCAGAAAAGCAGTGCTTAGCCCTATTATTCACCCCTGGGGTGGCAGAAAATTGGATTCGGGTTTTCTTTTTTAATCTCTCCCTACCTCCGGAGGACGTAGAGGAGAACAGCGAGGACGAAGACAACAAAGATGACACCGGTAACGGAACCACTGATGACAGCAGCCGATGCCATGGACTCGGCTTCTGTGGGAACATTTGGAGTCATGTCCACCCCACAGCACCCCAAAAAAACCCCAAATCCCCCAACTCCTGTTCCTCACCTTCGGGTAATGTCTCAAACTCATGCTCGAGGCTGAAGGCGCCGTGGCCGTCCTTGGTGAGCGCCTGGACCCGCACCACGTAGGCAGTGCCAGGGGACAGCTTGGGGATGGTGACAGAGGTGCCTTCACAGCGCAGCACCGAGTAGCTGTTCTCATCTGTCTGAGGAAGCAGGGAAGAGGGTGAGCGAGGGACAGTGCGGAGGACATGAGATGGGATGCAGATGGGATGCTGCTGGTGGCACCTTCTTGCTGTAGGTGACTTCATATTTCCAGACCCAGCTCTGCTGCCTTGGTGGCACCGTCCAGGAGAGGACCAGGCTGGTGGCTGTTTGTCCATTCAGGCTCACCGACGTCACCTGGGGAGGCTCTGCGATGGAGATGCGGTGTCAGAGGTGGTGACACCTCTTTGGTTGCGTGACGGCGGCCACGGGTGGCACCCCGTAGT